TCAGATGGGAAGATGTGGGGGATAGTTTGGGGATCAGGGGACAGGGATTACGAGAGAAGGTCCTGTCTTGTATTCATAGATGTGAAGTCCCCCAGTAGCAATCGCAAGCAAATGATATATTTCCAGGGTGAGGTAGGCATCAATATTTCATGTATTTTCAAGCCAAGTCCCCCAAATTATTGAGTGCTTCTAAATTCTGCCTGAGTTGCTGGGAGTGGTCATCGCCATACAACAGAGATCATCAAGCCCTGGCAACCCAGTCCTTTATGGTTGGTGGCAAAATCACCACTGATTTTGTCAGTACCAGATTTAAATGTCTGGATCTTTTTTTCTCAGGTAAACCCATTTTCTACAAAGACTACAGCACTTAAATCTGAGCCTTATTATGTCATGTGAAAATTTTAGTAGGAGCTTATCCTTATCAGTAGGAGCTGATACATTAAACCTTACATTTTCTGCAGTCGGCCTTGTTTCTTTCACATACGCTTTCATAGCCTCAGAAAACACAATCAAGGTGTTGTTCTTAAGAAATGCTCTCCAAGCGGTGAGGCCATCTCACAAAAATCTAATTTGGGGTAAGCTGCATACTGAATTTTTCACAGCCGATGTTCAATACACTTGCTGCTCTATACTGGGCTGAAGATCTATTGCCTGACTCCAAAAATGAGTCCAAGTTTTGTCACATCAATTCTCTGCAGGAAGCGGCTGTTTTCAGCTATTGAGCTGCATCAACTTGTGTAGTGGCAGTCGTGCCTTTTATCACATAAACAGTTCACTGCACATTGCCTTTTATTCTGTGTCATGCTGCAAAACAAAACGAAAGAAAAAATCTAAAGGAGCCAAAAGCTATTTTAGACTTGACAGCAGCATATAATAAACTGTGCTTCCTGGAGAAAAATTACTAATGGCTCCCTCTTGGAGTAAGGGACAGAGGCTAGCTCTAGCTGGAGTCAGAGCCACCAGTCCACTGCATTTATGAGAGGTTAGCCCTGAGGGATGCCAAAGTTCTCCAGGACTAATGACTTCCTAAGAATATCTAGAGTTAGTCTGGGATTTCTTTGGAGGACCATTTTTCAAAGAGGGAAAACCCACAAAGGAATTTCTGTCCAGCTGACTGTATTCTCAGTTCATACATCTGGGGCCACACCGATTTTCTTTGGAGGACCATTTTTCAAAGAGGGAAAAACCACAAAGGAATTTCTGTCCAGCTGACTGTATTCTCAGTTCATACATCTGGGGCAGAGGGCACCTTTGCAAGTACAGCAGTACCCACAGGCTGTACCAGTAGGACATCTCACATAAATCCATGTTTTATGCCAGTTCTGTAAAACTCTTCCCTGGATTGAAAAAGCATGTAATGGCAGAAATATTCTTGTAACTTCTACTGGCAAAATTATGTAGAACAGGGATTGAACCTTATTGTAGTGTTACCTATGTGTGCAATTTAGTTGTAAGGGACATATAGCTTTGCTTGGGCTTTTGATATGCTGAACAGTAAAATCCCAGACCCTGTAGAGCAGCCGGGATCAAAGGTCTTTCCTAGGAGCAGCAAGATTATTCTCTTGTTCATAAGACATCCTTTCCAATGAGCCTGATGCTGACTGATGGTGACTCTGTGCACATCGCTGTATGAGCCAACCTGTTTGATGAGATGCAGACTTGCAAACCTGTGTTGCACTGGCATCATGTTAGACAAAACTGCTCAAAATTGTCCCAAAACACCTATCCTTATAAACCTGCTTTGTTTCTAATTGCCGCTCCTGAAGAGAGCGAGCATGGTTTCTTCTCCTAATGTTATTTGAATCTGCTTTGGCCAACTTCAACGTTGCAGTAGGTTGCCAGGTTTCTGAGCAGTAAAATGTGGCAATTGGCAGGTGTATCCTTTTGTTGTCCTGTATTGTATGTTTGACCTAAACATTTGAAAAGTTTTGTGATTCCAGTTGCTTTACAAATTACAAAGGAAAACAGAAGCACAGAGAGAAGCAGCAGCAAGTCAGTAGCAGAACTGGGAATAGATCTTGGCTGTCGTGCCTGCTCTCAGTCACCAGCAGTTCAGCATGTATTCCTCCCTGTGATGTGCTTTTTCACAGCCCTGCTTAGACACCAAGTTCTTTGCGGTTTGTGAATGGAGCACAGACGGAAGAGCCAGAAGTGATCATGAAGCAGAAACACAGTAGTGTTAGAAGATCTTTTCAGTGAATTGGTTTCTGTGCTTCTTGAGCTGACAGTGAAGTCTTTAGTGATAGCAGTGCATGAAATATCCACTGTAGTGTATATAGAAGGGGTTGCCATGAATTAGGCATGTCTCAGTTTGTTTGACCCATGACAATTTTAGAAGTCCTTAAGTCATGATTGCTCACTGACATGAAGGTGTCTTCTTTACATTGCATAAGCATTGCTGATCTGTCTCTCAGGAAAGCTACCTTCCTGCATTACAGTCAAATACACAAGCTTTATATCGTGCTTCCTTTTTAACAACCATTATTGCTGACAAGAGGTTGTGGGATGAGGACAGGAGAAACTATGAGAGAGAGTCAGCATTTGCCAGCTTTCATAGGCTGGAGGAAATGGCTCTTTCTGTCCCGTCCCCCATTTTTCCTCCAGATTGCCTGTCTTAGTGTACGTGTCTGTTAGGAGTCTTTTATGATGCTTTTGTCTTTGTTTGTGGGTTTTTTCCTTCCTCTGAAAGTCTGCCCTTGCCTTTACTGCCAGCTGCCCAGGTAAAGTGGAGTAGTGAGATGTCCTCTGCGTGGTCTAGGCTTTTGATACCTCCTAGGGAACGCTAAAGACAATCTGTAGACTGTGTTTGCTTTAGTTTCTGTCAGTTGGGCCTTACTGGAAAGTCAGATTTGCTTTAAACAGTTACTGGATAGAAACAAAATGTAGTCTGTGGAGCAGGGAGGGGACCTCTCCCTTCCATTCTGCTAAGGGGAGTGTGCAAGCCACGAGGGTACAGAAAACCCAGGGGGGGTTATGTAGTGGTTTCTAACTGAGCCGTGGGGCAGTTTCCAAAGGCGGCAGAGAGCTGAGCACAGCAATGGGGGCAGCTCCAGTGCAAACCTCCTGCAAAAGCTCCCTGGGGTGAAGCGTGTTCCCCTTTGCGAGTCTGGTCCTACCGTAGGTATCGTTGCTGTAACATGGTGTGCAGGGGCTACTGTGAGCATGGCCACTGACAAAGTGAAAAAACAAACAACAAAACCCACTGCATACCCGAATGTCATGTCTTAAAATGCTGAATCTTCAGCGTGATTGTGAAAAAATAAGGGTTGGTTGATTTCTTTTTTGTCCTGCTTATACCTTGCACTTCCTATATCTTCCACTATCTATGGTGTTATATTAGATATCTATAATTCCATTTCAGTGCATGCACAGTAGTATATAAAGCAGCTGTAGAGCTCTCCTACAGTAACCTTCCTGTACTTCTGTTACAATAGTAAGCGCTGACCCATCAGTTCTTCTAAAACTTGAGACCATAGCAGAGCTGTGCTTAGCTGAGGACACACATTTTGTGAGCATTCTAGTTACTGAAGTTAATTATATCAAGACCCTGTATTACATGTTGTACTTCACCAAATTTGCACTGGTTTTGAAAGATGACACAAATTACTTCCATGACAATTTATAGATGGTTCAAAGTTAATGTATAATCTCATTAGATCCCATTAATCAAAAATAGTGCTTATTTTTTTTAAGAAGACATTAACATTTACTCAACACTTTTTACAGAGTGTTTCTACCGTCATGTGAGTTCTGCAGGAGTAATTTCATTAATAATTCAATTCAGCTTTATGTACTGCTGCCTTCATTAAAGAAGTTGGCTAACGACAGCACTTGTATTTAGTGTTCTGTTAAGCTTGATTGAAATAGAAGATAAAGTCCACTTATACCTCCAAAAGAGAAGACAATAAAATTTTTCTGCATTAGTAAGATTATGGCTATAATTAAGCTGCTGGTCAACCTCTACGAAGCCTTCACTACCAACCTCTACAGCTCTTCACTGTGGACTAACTTAAGTCTCACTCTGAAACAAAATTGGCATAATTAGTTCTGAAAGAAGACTCAAAACACTGGACCCATTTTTACCAGGTAGAGGCCAGCCTAGTTAGTAGGAACTGCAATTTACAAATATATCATTTTTGGGGGCATCTTTTTGGGGGCATCTTTTTGGGGGCGTCAAATGATCTTTGGTATCCATTCTGCACAGAGGCGATGCACGTAGGCACCAAAGGCACAAGGCAGGTGAAGCTAGTGAGTGTCCCTGCTGAGGCACACACATGAGCAGTGGGGGCAGTTTATGTTGGCATATGAGCTTTGTTTGCTTTTACTTGTAAGACTAAGAATAACCACCTTAGATTTGAAAAAAAAATACTGTATCAATTTTTTTTCCTGTCTCCTTTGCTAAAAAACAAGTATTGTTTAACAAGAGTGTAGTCTCTTGTACTCTCTCGTGACATACTTGATTAAGACCATTTGTTGTCTAGTTGTTGTAGTGTATAGTGCCCATTCTTTGCCCATTTTCTAACTGGACTGTTAGATCAGTACTGCTGATTTGAGGAGCCTCTTGTGACTTTTTTTTTCTTAGTGAAAATTTAATGTGTTCACATCTGTGAGTTCGTCTCTTGCTTCCCATCTTTTCTCTGTCCCTGTTTCCCTAGTTTGGTTCTCAGTCTTCCTCTGATATTTCTCCCTTCTTACTAGAAATTCACGTGATCACTTTAACCCTTTGATCTTTACTTTTTCAGAGTCTTTGTCTAGAGTGATGCCAACACATTTGAGTCACCTGTCTGCTTCTGTCCTTCTCTATACTTTCATTTATTCTGTTTTGAGGCTTCCAAAAGCAAATCAAAATGGAGATGTGCCATAGCCTGTCAAGTATTTCACCCAACAATTATAACATCTGTTGTAGTTTGGGTTAGGATTTAAAACAAATTAAGCCACATCACTCTCTAAAGAATAAAAAAATGATTTATTATTTTAAAGCCATAGAATGTACAGGGGCTTCAGCAAAAAGGAAGGTAGAGATGTTAGTAAATTGATAATGACCTTGGTCCATCTGACAGGGTAATTTTCCTGCCTTAATAATTGAAATGTATTCAAATGCAATTTAAAGGTCATCAGGGATGCAAGTCAAAGACCTAAGCAGAGTTTCTGATCAAAACATTAAGCATGATGTCTGACTCTTCCTTTTATGAATGGCTGAAGGATTCTGCCAAATGGTGCATTTCTCTTGTTTAATCAGGCTTCTTTGTTACGATAAACTTTGACTGCAGCTGAGCTCTTCACTTGAGTCCAGTGAAACACGAAAGGACAGAGGAAGGTCTTTTATCCATAGTTATCTTGCAGTTCTGCAGAAAAGTGAACACTGAGACAAATGCCAATGCAAAATAATTCTTCAAAGGGGAAACAGAGGGTCATCTGAGCAGCCTTGGCACATAGGAATACAGCGTGCGCAGACATGAAGGATGCTGACACTTGTGTTGTAAAATTCGATCTGAAAAGAAGGACTTTCAAAATCTGTACTTGGTGTGCCAGTATCCATTCAAAAGATCTGTTGAAATAAGTGAGTAAGGTGATATATGATGGCTGAACAACCAGATTGTTCCTTCAAGATTTCCAAGTAGAGTTAAGAATCAATGAAATACATGGATACTGTTATGTTATTCTCCATTTTCCTGGGCAGAAATCAGCTGCATTAAATGACCATGCATAAATTTTTGAGAAGTTCTTCCATTTCATCCAGAATCTGTAGCACAGCATGAGGAATTAATTTTTAGTAATAATTCGTGTAGATCCAGTAGAAGATCGATCTGAAAATAAAAGGTAAGGGGAGAAGATGAACCCTCTATCCTCTCTATTAGGTATCCTAATTATTGCCAAAGAAATTTGCATTAATATCCTTGTCAAGATCCGGTGTAATACTCCCTTCTGAAGAAAAATAGCATATTTCAGCAGGGAGAGCCATATTCTCCATCTCTCCCTTCAAAAATGGCAATGTGTCAGATCTTCTCTAGCTAACCAGTAGAAATGATGGACACCTTGACATCTTCATTTGGCAATACATTTTTCTGCAAGCCCGGAGCTCCATCCTGCTTCAATGCTGGCTTTGCCAGGTCAGTCCTCTGTAACCACTGTCTTCTCTTCTTCACGTGGGTTACTTCTCCACCTTAGTGTTTTAGTTTCTAAATGGGGATATGAGAAAATGTTGTTTTGACATGCAATGATTGTAGACAAAGATGTTTGAACGTGGTCTGGGCCTGCTTGAGATGCAGCATTCATTAATTAGCCCGCAAATTGTATTTAATCTGACTAATCTGTGCGGTCACACCATCACACATGAACTGTGATCTCAAATAATACAAATCAGGTCCAGCTCTGATCCTCTGAGCTCGTGTGACAGCGCCTAGATTAATTAATTATTCTAGTTGTGCAGCTGACCCCATGAAGAAAGGCAGCAAGCACCACGTACGCTCTGGAGAGGTTTGCAGAGATGATTGTTTAGCAGGGACTGTACATATGGAAATTTGTTCTCATTTCTTCCTTTGTGCTATCCCATTTACAAATGGAAATGACTGCTTTGTAGCCAGTTCTCATTATATTTCTCTCCCATGAGATCTAAAATTAGCATTAGGAGAAATCCCTCAGTAGCTGGGGCTGAAGCCTAGTCTCAGGCTTCGGGCTGTTGTTGTGCTGGAAGGGGAAGCAGGGAGGCAGCAAGGCTGGCAGGACCCTACACTGGCCAAAATACCTCAGCAAGGGGCAGAGACACTCCACTGGAGTCAACCAGGTTTGGCCAAGGGGGTCAGCCAGGGCTGCACAAGGTGGTGGTGATGAGGCCTGGGCAAAGTGGAGCTGGGAAGTCAAGTCACAATCAGGCATGGTGTGCTTTTGTATATGTGTAAACAGTAGTTTTATGCAGTTAAATACAGGGGCAATGTTGAGGCCTTGCTAAGTCTGGTGAGGGCAATGAGAACCTGCTGGTGCTTTCAAGTCCCTGACATCCATTCGGGTGGATCTTCTGGTGAGGGAGTCAAATCTACCTCTCACTGCCTTTAGGGCTCAGGCTGTGTTGCTTAGTCCAGGGTTGTACAGCTCAATTCAATTAATATGGTCCTGGCTTCCATCAATAGCAAACACGATCAAGGCTGTGAATCACTGCAGTGTCACTTCATTGCACACCTGGGCAGGGAGACAAGAAACTAGTTGAACGTTACAGAGTTGATGTATATAAATGGATCACTAGTTTCCTCTGGAGAAGTGCATGTGTGTGTGTAGGTTTTGAGCGAGATGTTTATATTGGTTCTATAAGCAGCCTTATTAAAGGTTTGCAGCACTGCTTTGATTCCATTGACTAGCAGAGCACAGGTGGGACGGGGGGTATAACAGCTGTGCGTCAGCTCATGCTCCTTGCTAACTGTAGTGGGCCAGGGAAGCTCATGGAAAGTTTATCTCTCATTGCACTAAGCTACACTTTCTTAAGTAAGACAATCTAAATATAGGCACTAACTTTCTGGCAAGGGATAGTAATACTGTTCTACCTGGTTATAGTTTGATGTAATGTAAAGGAGATGATGGTTGTGAGGGGTTTTTTTTCTTCTGCTAAAGATATTTTTTTTTAAAAAAGGGGGTTTTTTTTCAAAATGTTTTTGCAGACATAGGATTGTTCCTGTATATACTTTGGTTCACCAGTGCAGCCGTCCTTAGCTGAAAGGAACATTGTGAACAATCCCATTCAGCATCTGTTCAGGAAGCTTTCTTAAACCAGGAAAGCAAGGAGAGCAGCTAGGCTGTTATAACAACACGTCAGTCTTTCCACGTGCCTCCCTCTGAGCCAGCTACACTTGCAATTCACACAGAAAGCAGGGAACAAGGTATTTCCTCCCCAAACTCACTAGATGTACTCTTGAAATCCAGAATGGATTTTTTGAGACTATACAAGTAGATTGTCTAATTTTGATGTTGAAGTCAATTAAATACTGCTATCTTTCAAATAATTTTAAATTATTGTTTTCTTTGTTTCAAATGGTCTTGATGGTAGACTAACACAGACTTTTCTTTTTTTTTTAAATAATAATTATCTTACCCACAAGCTATCTGTATTTTATCTGTACTTTACTGATAATTTTTCTATTTAGTTGCTATGACTATGGGCTGCAGCAGGGTCAGATTAGCTTGTTTTATCACAAAGTGGTCAACCATGGTGAACGCTGTATGGGCCTTTTCCCACAGACACCTTGCACCATTACATTTTGTGTGATGTGCTGCCAGTGTGATGGGGGTTGATCATTGTCAACATTTTGTGGTGACTGATGGTCACCTTCAGGCACCACTGTCCTTCCAGGGCTGCCTGCCTTAACTCTGCATCAGCTCTTTTCTTTGCCTCTTTGGTGACACTGTGAAAACAAGACACAAGCAGAAGGGGAGTAACTTCATACAGCCTGAGACCAGCAGCATTGCAAATGCCTCAGTCCCAAATGGATTGGGGCTCGGTAAGCGATTGCAAGATGGCCTGGTTACCTTATCTATGCACTTACTGCCCACAAGATGTTTGGATTTCTGTTCAGTGAGAACTCAGCTCAGTGGCCTCGCTTGTAGTCCTGGCTTTACACTGATACAGCAATTATCCCAAGTGCAGTGTTCCCATAAATTACCCATGTGCTCTCAGCCCTTCTCTTACCGCATTAAGCTCTAAAAGGTAATATAATTTTCATTACACAGAGCATTTCAGGTATGAGAGCTCTGTGATAAGAAGTTGCAGTTTGTTTATTGCTAGCGTAGCTGGTTGTAAAATTTGTTGTTAAATTTGTCACACTGTCTGCTTTTTTTCTTATTCTTAACACTGTGACGGGACAAGACAGTGCCATAGAATTGCTGCAATGGTCTGGGAATGCAAGTGGAGGATGACAAGGAAAAATTGTAGATTAAAAAGTGTGTTGCAGGTAGGAAAGAGGCTGTGAATAATTCATTCTTAAATAATTCTTCACATTTAAAAATGAATTATTTAATGGTCACTTAAGCATCTTATATTCATGACCATTCCAGATTACCTTAGCCAGAAATTGGGTTGGGGAAATTAATTATAGTACTTCACCTTTTTACCCAAATGTTTCCTTGCTGGTGATTGATGATACTTGTCTGAATCTCTGGTTAAAATCCTCTGCTTTAGAAAGTATATAGCCTTAATTTTCAGGAGCTCCCTACCACTGAAGGGCTACAGAAGGAGTTCTGCTGTGTGCAAAAAGGCTGACATACAAACCTAAATCCAAGAACCCAAATTACATTGATATATAAACCTTCCTGAAATTTAAGCTCTAGTAGAGGGAAAGTTAATTCACCCTTCTGCTCAGCACATCTTTCCATATTTAACACAGGTATCTCTCTGCTCACTGAGAGACAGCCACTCACCTCAGGATCCTGCCAGGCAGCAGCAGCACATTCCCAGCTCTGCCTTTGGGATGTCGATGTTCTTCTGGGGACTTAGCTCTTTTTTCTCCTGTTTCCTCTTGCAACTGTAATGAAAGGAGGCTCGTGGCTCTGATGCTTTGATTGGTGTCTATAACACTCTCAGCAAATAATTAGAAATGGAAAATGCCATAAAATCTTTGCAAGTGTTATCTTTCCGTAATTGTTCACACCATATTTAAGGGGAGGTTGTGCTGGGAATACCTGAGTAGACATTTAATGGTAAGGATAGTGCTGTCCTTATGCAAACCAAGCCAGATATATTATTCAAAAATGTTTTCTTTGCATAACACTTGGAGGAGGTAGCTCTTTTGCCTTGCTTCCGGGTGAAGATGCATGTTTGTTTACAATAATGCTTTCAAAAGCTTTTGTCTCTATTCTAAAATTAAATGAACAAACATAGAGATTTCATGATTTATGGGCTTTGATTTCACATCAGCTGTGTGCAGGTGTCAGCTAAAGACCTGGGAGGAGAAGGAAGGTCACTTCTGATTTACAGATTCACCCCTTCTCAATCTGAAAATGAAAGCTGTTTCCTTAGTTCTCTTTTCCTTTCCTATTAGTAGTTGTGGCTGAAAGAGTCTGCAGGCAGTTTTAAGCAATATTCCTTACTGTTAATTCAAATTCAGCAGTAGCACGAATATGATTCTTTTTATTTTAGTTGAATTACTCCAGAGTCAACTTGATATGCATGAAACCAGGATTACTGCCTAAAATCTCAGGCTTTTTTCCACTAACTAACTCTGCTGGAAAAAACTAGTCGAGGGTGAAGCTTTATTTTAAAAGGTGAAGCAGAAGGCATAACTCCTATGATTCCTTTGTGCTTTATACAATGTTTAGAAGTAAAAATATTTAAGGTAGAATTATGGTCAGATAATACTACAAAAGAACCCCAAGAAATATAGAGTGAAGTTATCAGCATCATCCTGCGCTGTGATACATCCTTGCCTGTGATACATACAGGGAAAATAATACCTGTAATCTACAGCATCTGGAGAACTGCTGGTGTCATGGTTAAGTAGCGTTAAATGAGGTTCAAAGACAGACTGGAAAATCCATGCAGGTAGGCATATCCTGTGTGGATATCTGCATCCACAGAGCATATACCAGCATTTGTAGATATCACAGCAGGTTTTTTTTTTCTTCTTTCATGTACAGACTTAATGCAATGCAAATACTTCTGGCATCATTGAATTGCGTTGAGAAGCACTTATAAAAGCTATAGGATAGGCCTGTCTTATCAGCTCTACCTATGAAACTGTTTATTTGCAGCTTATCTAATTAATAGGAGAAAGTATGTTCAGCATCTGTAGCCCTGATATAGGTTGAATAGTTTTCTTGTTGTTTAAGAAAGTCTTTATCAGCATGCAACTTCCTTCATTGCTGTCAAGCATAGAAGTAAAACTATTTTAGTTATGGTAAAGTGTGGTTCTGTGCACAGTAAGAACACAGAAAACCCCCAGCTTTTGTGACCTCTATCTGCTAAATAAAACCTGTTTGCATTATGAAAACAGAGACTATGGCTTTCTGCTCTCAGTAATGCTGATCTGGGTGAGTTGCAGTCATCCTGCACTGCAGATGATGGTCTTGGACTGTTACCTATCCATTTTCAGTTTTTCTCAGCAGTGATAAGGACTCCTCAGAAAGCCACAGATGTACACATTCTCCAGGATGGTATAATTTAAAATTCACATAAGTAGACTACTCTGTTACATATTTGTTAATGTCTTTAGCTGGAAACTAATTTATGTCTACTGAGGAGGAAGCTTTTGCAGTCACTGCCAGTGCATCTGGCTGAGGTTCAGGTCTAGACCTGGCAGCTAAGGATTTGTCCTTTTCTATCTTGTTTCCAGATGCTGCATGGGACAGCTTTTGGGTTATCCTTACAGCATTTCCTTGGTTTTCCTTTAAAATACCTCCTATTGTACAAGTAATACTTTTTCTGAATATTTGGACCTTACCCACACTTGAAGCTTAAGTATCTTCAACACGTGCAATTCTATAGCAATAAGTCAGGTCAGCCTGGAGTCCCCCAGGCTGGTTCCCCTTGGCTGAGCTGCTCTGCTCCCCGGCTACGCAGTGGTTGGAAGGGAAAGATGTAGGAGCTGTTTGCTGGGGGTTAATAATGGCTTCTTGAATATACAGACCCTGTGGGTCTGGGTGCTGCTTTACCTGGGCTGGGAGAACGGAGATGCCCATCTCCTGGGCTGTGCATTTGCTGGCAGAATTTGGTGCTTATTCTTCGCAATGTGTGCAATATGGATGCTGAAAGTAACAGCAAAAAAATCCAACAACAACCCTGCCATGGCTCAGGTTAGGGCTTTGTTTGCCATATGTATTATTTGAAACTGAATTCATTATCTTCTATGTAGGGTATCTTACCTTACCATCCTTGCAGTTATCCCTGACTGAACAGCGGGAGGTGATTTGATATACCTGGTTTGAGTGCTCCCACGTAACAGCCAAGAAGCCAGTTAAATGGAAGGGAAATTCTCTGCATCAACTCTTTTTTTCCAGGCAGCAGCAGAATTTTACATGTCATAGCTGAACTGGAAGCATGCAAAACTAAAATGCTTATTAGGAAAAGCTCCTACAAAAGGATACAGGCTGTTCGCAGACAGTAATGCCTAAGTTAGCCACTAATTCAACCACAGTTGAATTTAAGCACTTGAATAATACAAATGAGTAGACTCTTCATTTTAAATTTTAAACCCAGAAACTGGGATCCTTAATTAGCCCTTAGGCTAAGATTTCAAGTATTAACTATTCTGCTGGATTTTAAGAGGACCAGCTACAGCGAGTAACGCACACACTTATATTTGAAGAGCCTATCCTCAAATATGGAGTATTAAAAAAAAAAAGATTTGGTCACCAGCATCAGGAGATTAGGATGAATTTAAATAATGAGAAGACTGCTTCCCTGACCAAAGCTTTTTGTACAGCACTTGATGCACACAGAAAAAAACGCCTTTTAATAGCACTGTGAGGGAAAATACAGGCTGGTGGAAAAACTGCATTTCTAGTCAAATTCTTTAGGTGGTATAGAGCTTGCAGAGCAGTGGGAGGATAAACTGGGGGGGAAAAAAAAGTATCTTTAAATCAGGTTTAGACCACTGCCAAATCTGGTCAGTGCAAGCAGAGTGTACAGAGATCAGTGGAGATGGGGCAGATGTGAGAGGGAGATGGGGCAGATGTGAGAGGGAGATGGGGTACAGCTGGGTGATTTAGATACATTAATACATTTTCTGTCAATCTAATATCTTGCTGTTCCTACAGTATAGCAAATAATTTAGATATGCTGCAGCCACACAAAGGAAGACATGCAATTTCCCTTTTCATATTTTACATGATTATTCTTCTGTGCTTTGTGGCCCTACATGGTACTGCAGTAAATTTACTTTACCGTAGAGAGAGTATAATTCAACATATATGAGAGGTTTTCCCAGCTTCCCACCAGCTCTGCTTGCATCTTCCCATCTCCAAATTTTGTTCTTAGGATGAGCTGTAATACAGAAGTGCTTAGGACAAAGCTGCCAGCTGCCAGTAATCTGAAAATGAAAGCTGTTTCCTTAGTTCTCTTTTCCTTTCCTATTAGTAGTTGTGGCTGAAAGAGTCTGCAGGCAGTTTTAAGCAATATTCCTTACTGTTAATTCAAATTCAGCAGTAGCACGAATATGATTCTTTTTATTTTAGTTGAATTACTCCAGAGTCAACTTGATATGCATGAAACCAGGATTACTGCCTAAAATCTCAGGCTTTTTTCCACTAACTAACTCTGCTGGAAAAAACTAGTCGAGGGTGAAGCTTTATTTTAAAAGGTGAAGCAGAAGGCATAACTCCTATGATTCCTTTGTGCTTTATACAATGTTTAGAAGTAAAAATATTTAAGGTAGAATTATGGTCAGATAATACTACAAAAGAACCCCAAGAAATATAGAGTGAAGTTATCAGCATCATCCTGCGCTGTGATACATCCTTGCCTGTGATACATACAGGGAAAATAATACCTGTAATCTACAGCATCTGGAGAACTGCTGGTGTCATGGTTAAGTAGCGTTAAATGAGGTTCAAAGACAGACTGGAAAATCCATGCAGGTAGGCATATCCTGTATGGATATCTGCATCCACAGAGCATATACCAGCATTTGTAGATATCACAGCAGGTTTTTTTTTCTTCTTTCATGTACATACTTAAAGCAATGCAAATACTTCCGGCATCATCATTGAATTGTGTTGAGAAGCACTTACAAAAGCTATAGGATAGGCCTATCTTATCAGCTCTACCTATGAAACTGTTTATTTGCAGCTTATCTAATTAATAGAAGAAAGTATGTTCAGCATCTGTAGCCCTGACATAGGTTGAATTGATTTCTTGTTGTTTAAGAAAGTCCTTATCAGCATGCAACTTCCTTCATTGCTGTCAAGCACAGAAGTAAAACTATTTTAGTTATGGTAAAGTGTGGTTCTGTGCACAGTAAGAACACAGAAAAGCCACAACTTTTGTGACCTCTATCTGCTAAATAAAACCTGTTTGCATTATGAAAACAGAGACTATGGCTTTCTGCTCTCAGTAATGCTGATCTGGGTGAGTTGCGGTCATCCTGCACTGCAGATGACGGTCTTGAGCTGTTACTTATCCATTTTCAGTTTTTCTCAGCAGTGATAAGGACTCCTCAGAAAGCCACAGATGTACACATTCTCCAGGATGGTATAATTTAAAATTCACATAAGTAGACTACTCTGTTACATATTTGTTAATGTCTTTAGCTGGAAACTAATTTATGTCTACTGAGGAGGAAGCTTTTGCAGTCACTGCCAGTGCATCTGGCTGAGGTTCAGGTCTAGACCTGGCAGCTAAGGATTTGTCCTTTTCTAGCTTGTTTCCAGATGCTGCATGGGACGGCTTTTGGGTTATCCTTACAGCATTTCCTTGGTTTTCCTTTAAAATACCTCCTATTGTACAGTAATACTTTTTCTGAATATTTGGACCTTACCCACACTTGAAGCTTAAGTATCTTCAACACGTGCAATTCTATAGCAATAAGTCAGGTCAGCCTGGAGTCCCCCAGGCTGGTTCCCCTTGGCTGAGCTGCTCTGCTCCCTGCTACGCAGTGGTTGGAAGGGAAAGATGTAGGAGCTGTTTGCTGGGGGTTAATAATGACTTCTTGAATATACAGACCCTGTGGGTCTGGGTGCTGCTTTACCTGGGCTGGGAGAACGGAGATGCCCATCTCCTGGGCTGTGCATTTGCTGGCAGAATTTGGTGCTTATTCTTCGCAATGTGTGCAATATGGATGCTGAAAGTAACAGCAAAAAAAACCAACAACAACCCTGCCATGGCTCAGGTTAGGGCTTTGTTTGCCATATGTATTATTTGAAACTGAATTCATTATCTTCTATGTAGGGTATCTTACCTTACCATCCTTGCAGTTATCCCTGACTGAACAGCGGGAGGTGATTTGATATACCTGGTTTGAGTGCTCCCACGTAACAGCCAAGAAGCCAGTTAAATGGAAGGGAAATTCTCTGCATCAACTCTTTTTTTCCAGGCAGCAGCAGAATTTTACATGTTATAGCTGAACTGGAAGCATGCAAAAATAAAATGCTTATTAGGAAAAGCTCCTACAAAAGGATACAGGCTGTTCGCAGACAGTAATGCCTAAGTTAGCCACTAATTCAACCACAGTTGAATTTAAGCACTTGAATAATACAAATGAGTAGACTCTTCATTTTAAATTTTAAACCCAGAAACTGGGATCCTTAATTAGCCCTTAGGCTAAGATTTCAAGTATTAACTATTCTGCTGGATTTTAAGAGGACCAGCTACAGCGAGTAACGCACACACTTATATTTGAAGAGCCTATCCTCAAATATGGAGTATTAAAAAAAAAAAAGATTTGGTCACCAGCATCAGGAGATTAGGATGAATTTAAATAATGAGAAGACTGCTTCCCTGACCAAAGCTTTTTGTACAGCACTTGATGCACACAGAAAAAAACGCCTTTTAATAGCACTGTGAGGGAAAATACAGGCTGGTGGAAAAACTGCATTTCTAGTCAAATTCTTTAGGTGGTATAGAGCTTGCAGAGCAGTGGGAGGATAAACTGGGGGGGGGGAAAAAGTATCTTTAAATCAGGTTTAGACCACTGCCAAATCTGGTCAGTGCAAGCAGAGTGTACAGAGATCAGTGGAGATGGGGCAGATGTGAGAGGGAGATGGGGCAGATGTGAGAGGGAGATGGGGTACAGCTGGGTGATTTAGATACATTAATACATTTTCTGTCAATCTAATATCTTGCTGTTCCTACAGTATAGCAAATAATTTAGATATGCTGCAGCCACACAAAGGAAGACATGCAATTTCCCTTTTCATATTTTACATGATTATTCTTCTGTGCTTTGTGGCCCTACATGGTACTGCAGTAAATTTACTTTACCGTAGAGAGAGTATAATTCAACATATATGAGAGGTTTTCCCAGCTTCCCACCAGCTCTGCTTGCATCTTCCCATCTCCAAATTTTGTTCTTAGGATGAGCTGTAATACAGAAGTGCTTAGGACAAAGCTGCCAGCTGCCAGTAAACCACTGCAGAGCTTGCTAAGGGTGAGTCCAG